TTCCCAGTCTACACTAGGAGAAAAAGTGCCATTCGGGTCCAGCATGCGATGCCGTCAACGCAGAAGCAAAACCCAGAGACTCCAATACCCCTTAATCAAGGAATATACCTTAAATCTTATTAGGGGTCCTACTATAATTTAAGGTGCCCAGTGACTCCAATATCCCTTAATTAAGGAATATACCTTAAATCTTATTAGGGATCCTACTTTAATTTAAGGTATATTCCTTTATTAAGGGGTATTGGAGTCTCTGGGAAGCATCGCCACTGCAGGCACAGCCCACCATGCTGCTGCAGTTGGCCTCCACGCTCTCATAGACTCTGCTCTTCCGGCTTGATGAAGACCCGGAAGTTGCCATAAGGACGTAGCAGATTCTTCCCAGAGAGCCCATTACCCCTTAAAGAAGGAATATACCTTAAACTATAGGGGCCTTAGTATTATGATTTAAGGTATATTCCTTAAGGGGTATTGGGCTCTCTGGGTAGCAGATTCTTTGCCCCTCTCCCCCATTCACTGCTGAGAAAGAACTGCCGTTGAGAGCGGGACGGAACTGCAAGAGGCTTGGAGAATGTGCAGCATGAAACAGCTGAGTGCTGTCTTCCGCGCCGGAGGAAAGTATATCGGACTGTAAACCATATTGCGGCACAAGGGCACAGAAATTGAGATGACAGTAAATCAAAACCGACTACACCTCTTCATTCAGATTGTCACACCGCTAAACCCTAAACCCTAAACACTAAACCCTAAACCCTAAACCCTAAACCCTAAACTGGCGGTTCTTCAAGCATTGTTGACCCTCTGTGTAATCAAGGTGCTGGGCAGAGGGGCCCTTCAGAAGTCGTTGTGTTCCAAAGTTGCGAGCGCTGTTATGCAAGATTCTAAGGGCTTTAGGAGGGCCCCTAATAGGGACCCTTGTAGGTTACATAGGGGTCAATATGGAGACTACCTGGCTATATAAGGGGTATATAAGGACTATACAATGGTTATTTAAGGTAACGGGATTAAGGGTCCCTATTGGGAGTCCCTCCTAAAGTCCTTAGAAAGATGGCATGGAAAGCAAGAAAGATACAGCGTGAGTTCGCCCGCCCGCGAGCTTTAGGTCTGTATAGGCTTGAGGATCGACAGCGTGGTGTTCGCGTCTTCGTTCTTTCTTGGCTCCAGCCGCGCTTGTGCGCGAGGGGAAAGGCCATGGACCAGAGTTTCTTTCAGTTCGTCGTCATGTAAAGCCTATTTACACATGCGTTGTTTAGGGTTTTGGGTTTAGGGGTTTAGGGGTTTAGTGGTTTAGGGGTTTAGGGTTTAGGGTTTAGGGGTTTAGGGTTTAGGGTTTAGGGTGTAGCTGACATGGGCAAAAAAAGAACGCCTCAGTTTCCCAAGCGAGCAGACCAGAGATTGAAGGAGACTTTTTGGTTGCGTCATTGTGGCACCTACAGAACCATGCACTGTTGAGTCGATACTTGGAGGACCATGGGACTTAGTAAGTAAGGGTTTAGAGTTTAGGGTTTAGGGTTTAGTAAGTAAGGTTATAAGTACCCTAATTGGGGTTATAGTTATAGTTACTTTATTTATAACCCTAGTTACTAAGTCCCATGATCCTCCAAGTAGAGCCGAGCAAGCAGCAGCTGGCGCCTGATCTTTGATCTTTGGTCCTTGGCCGGGGACAGCAGGGAGCAGGGGGCTCCTGGGCTTGCAATTAGATTCTTGTTTAGGGTTTAGGGTTCAGGGCTTAAAGGGGCTTATACTGTTTAGGGTTCAGGGTTTATAGGGACTTACAATGGTTTGGTTTTAGGCATTTTGGGGTGTTTGTCTTCGGGTGAAAGGGTTCCTTCGTCCACAACTCGACCGCAGCCTGTGCATGCTAGATCCAACATGGCAAAGGTTGGCATGCGTGCAGACGGCAGTTCAGCATAAATGAACGAATGCAGCTCGTATGGCGCAATGCTGCTGCCGATGCTTCCAATGTGCACACAAGAATTGTCACAAGAATGCACACCTGCTGGGTTCGGCGAGATGAGCTTCTACGACTTTGCCTGCAGTGGAGCAAGCAGGTGCTATGTACTCCACCCACGGATTTCCATTTTGGGTTTGTATGCGAACCTACTTGGAGGATCATGGGACTTAGTAACTATGGATATAAATAAAGTAACTATAATCTATAATTACAACCCCAATTAGGGTACTTATAACCTTGCTTACTAAGTCCCATGATGCTCCAAGTGGGACAGCATGCAAGGCTTGTGCGAACATCGTTTCAGCGATACGGCATGTCCATAAACCTAAGGAATGCTCTATGCCACGCAGATCGACGAGGACTTCCGTCCCTCCTCCTCCTGCCGCAGGGTTTAGGGTGTAGGGCTTGGGGTTTAGGGTTTATTAGGGTGCAGGGTTGAGGGTTTAGGGCGACTGAAGCTCTGTCAATTGTCTAGAAGAGCACCTCATTCGAGCCGGGGAACAAGAATTCGGATGTTAGGTGGGCGTAGCCGAGTTGGCTAGGCGGGAGCACAAAGCCCCAATGTGTGTTCCTTTTACGTGTTCGAATCTTGACATGGGCCCCGTCTTACCAGCATGTTGACTCACGTTGGCTTGTTTGGGCAATCTCCGTTGCACGCAGCTGCATTATATGCAACATCCTGTCATTTAATCAACTTGTGGCCTCGGAAGCCGCGCGGCAGTTTCTATACTAGTTACTGGAGGCGTAGAAGCTCGCTCGCGAATTCGTTTCGAAGCCAAGTCCTCGCAAAGCGAACCTCACACGCCTATGAATGCCGCCCCCCCCCCCCCTGCAGAGCAGAAGAAGCGCATGCACAAAGAGTTCCATGCTCATAGAACCTGACCAAGCTCAAGTCTCAAGTGCTACAGCGGCACTAGATCCTACAAGCTTTGGGTGTTGCGAGAGGACTCCGATGGAGAGCGCAGCACCCCGCTCTGCAGAGATGTTGTCACTGAAGCTCAAACTTCATGGGTTTTGCTTTGGGAGCCCTTTGTCCCCAAGGCGATGGCCACGAAGTCTCGACGCTGTTGCCCTCTGAGGGTCCAGAAGTCCTGAGGCTACAGAACCACTACGCCGTTGACAGTGATATTGCTGATAGTCATAGGGTCGTCTGCCCCTTGGAAGCCCACGTTCAAAAGCAATTTGGATCCCTCAAGGTATCACAGCAACGGAGATAGAGGACTGCTGGCCTGCTTGGCTCTGTCTATTCTTCTGCACCTTCTCCGGTTTCCTGTTGCATCGCACCCCTAAGCCTCAAACCCTAAACCGCAAACCCGAAGCCCTAAACCTGTACCCGAAACCCTAAACCCTA